CAAGATACTCTCTTCAGAAACACATATGGGAACAACAAAATACAAAGGCAGCCTAAGATAACAAAAAAAAGTTTATTGCACTTAAAAACTGAACAAAGAACAATGTTCAAGCTCTTTTAATGATAGTGAGTGCTCTAGCCCACGATAATTACATATTTACTCTTACAATAATCCTTCCTACTAGATAATTATGTTATCCTCAACACCTTCCCTTTATTTTCAGCTGCATAAGGTATTTTCTTCCAATCTTGAGCCGTTCATTAGTTTCACTGCAACATTTCCCTGCCTTTCCAAGGCTGCAATTAAGTCCTACATTTAATTGTAACATCTAAGACTGATTGTAAGGACTGCCTTAGTTCTCTCACTCTTTGTTCTTTCAAAATATACCCTTGTACTATTAGATAGCTAGTTCTGTTTCCATGCCTTGTAAGCAGTTTGCATCACAATTCAAGGATGTCATTTAATGTATCATGAATTTCCAGTATCAGCCAACACTATGTTCAAGGCCCACAGAAGCAACAAAGGTAACTAACCTCAGCTTGGGTCTCTCAAGAGAGAATTCTAGAATAAATAGTTAAGATTTCTCTAAAAATTGGTGTTTGCTTCCAAGGTGTGTAAACCTTTCAGGATTTCACTATTGTACAACAATAGTACACAAAGCCTTGCATACATCCTAAAGGGTTCACCGATAGGTACTACTTGGCTAAACTGATAATAAGGAAGGATAAACCTGCCACTAAAGGCAATGCAACTTACCTTCCATCAGAACATCTTGCAGAAATACTTTAAACCAGTTACTCTTTCCCCACCCAACCCCCAACCAAAACAACAGAAAATTTCAAGTGCATGTAACTCAAAATTTTACGAGAGTGAAGGTACAGCACTGAGAAAATGTCATCCTAACCAAAAAGTATGACAAAAGTGTAGGTACCAGACCTGCATATTTTCTACTCCATTTTAAGATGGTACTCTCCACCCGTAAAGCTATCCAAAGCTGACCAAGGTCATGAGTAGCCTGACCTAATGTTGAAGTTAAACCTGCTTGAGCAGGGGTTGTGTAAGATGACCTCCCAAATCAAAGTATCCCATAAATCAAAATGGAAAACAGATCCTAAAAAAATCCTAAACTGTATAATGCTCAGCATCAAAGGTAGCACTGATTTTTGCAAATCTTAATGAAATGTATATCCAAAGTTCGCTATTAGCCAGGGCAAGCTTACTTTTCAGAGACTCTGTAGCGTTCATTGGTAGTCACTGCTTTGTATTTCACATTCCCTTTGGTCCGCTCCAACTCATCACGCCAGTCCTCAAGAGTATCAAACATCATAGTTTGGTTTCTGCCATCTGTCAGACATCAATAATGTTAACTTGGGAGACTATTATGAATTCTAACATGAAAGCATTCCTAAATCAAGTAGTTAGTTTTCATTAAGGTGAGCAATAGAAGCAGTGTGTTGTACAAAGGCATTTTGTCTGATCTTTAACAAATCATCTGTCAAATAATGCTCTAACTCATAACTTCAGGAATGGTTTCTCTTACAGAAACTAATCAGTTCTTATGGAACTTCCATACAGTTGAGGCTGTCCTCACATCTAGCCTAAAATTCAGGATGCTGTGCAACAAATACTATTGTATACTAGTGCAGCTGACTGGCATCTGACAATATAGACTTACATGTAGAATTAACAGTCATACCAAAAGCCTTTCTGCAATTCAGATATTGCATTTCATTTAAAATTCATTCTTTCATCATGGATAAGAGTTTTGCACTGACTAGAACATTTCAGACACTTGATAAATGCAGAAAATTGATTACAGCAGAAAATTGATTACATCGATTCAGTCTTAATCATTTCAGCTGAGAACTTTTCCTGTATTTCTGTCTAGTCACCTCAGCAACAGTTACAACAGCAGGTTGATTTAGCCTCAGATCCCGTATAATAACCATATAATCTATGGAATAAGACCAATTGTTTTAGACACCCATCATACTTAAGTATCCTGCAACATCATCTAACAGTGAAATACCAAACAGAGCTAGAATTTCCACAGAAGATCCAATAGCAAGTTGAAACTCCCCACTGTAAGAAGATAAGGGAGATGAAATATTTACAGCTGGAAACTGAACATTATTGATGAGCTCTAAGGGATAAGTTAAGATTTTGAGAGTACCAAACCATAAAAGGTAGAAAACCCAGTCTCCTAAGTCTACGTAATCTGTCCTGTAACAACTTCATAAAGAATGAGACCTAGCTATTTATTATTGAAGACAGTTATTACAACATGAAAAATTTCCGCCACAACACTTCAAAGTTGCTATAAAGATTAAGCTTCTCCCACATTTGCTTAGTCTCTACCTGGAAATGCTTACAGTCTTTCTGATGTTTGTAGTTCAAACTGAACACTAGTTACAGATGAAGCCTGCAGAAACTACCTGAGCCAGCAATATGCCCTTGCAGCAAAGGTGGCCAGTGTATTCTTGGACTGCATTAGGAAAACCATTGCCTACAGATTGAACGAGGTGATTGTTATTCTCAGCTCAGCAGTGGTGAGGCCATATCTGGCATGCTGTGTACTGGAGAGCCCAGCACTGGACAAGACAGGCATGGGCCTGCTGGACCAAGTCCAGTGAAGGCCCATTAAGATCATTAAAGGGTTCTAAGCCCTCACTTGATATGAAGAGAGACTGACAGCTGGGATCATTCAGCCTGAAGAAAAGGCTCAGCAGGGGCACAGGGTGGCAAGAAAGCTGTACAGTGTATATAAACACCTGATTGGGGGCAGAAGCAGGGGAGGGGAGTAAAGATGGATCTAGACTCAGTGGCATCCAGTGACATGACAAAAGGCAGTGTGCACAAGATAAAACTACAGAAAATCCCATTTAAACATAATAATAAACTTTTTCACTATGAGGACAGTCAAATAATGAAACAGGCTGTCCAAAAAGATTGCAGACTTTCAATCCCTGGAGATATTCAAAACCTAACTGGACATGACCCTGGTAAGCTTGCTGTAGTTAAACCTACTCTAAACATGGGGAGATGGACAGGAACACAACTAAATGATCTCCAGAGGTTTCTTCTAACCTCAATGATTCTGCAACTCCAAGACATTTTGGTAAGTGTCTGACTAATACCTTGGGTACATGAAAACTTCCTCTGTGAAAGGAACAGGTGTTCCTGGTGTATTAAGAATCAGGTTCCTAATTCAAAACAGTGCTATTACTTCAGCTGAAGTTTGAAATGCTAGAAAGTGCACTGACAACTTTTTATCTTGAATTTTGGAGCTTACTATAATATTCAGCCAAGTTTGATCAAGTGGGAAGATTATGTAATAAGTTAGCTATAAGAGGAAGTCAGATGTCCACTGGAATGTTGCTATGCAAACCTATGCTTTTGTTGCAGTTGCCTGGGAGAAGCAGATTGCTTGCAAATAAGAGCAAAGAGGGAAATACTTTGTCAGATGCCACTGAAAATGTAATAATTTAAGAATTAAGAGCAGGAAGCTTGGTTCACTGCAATTGTACAGAAAAAACACATTGATAAAATAAGCAAAATATTTTCTAGATGAGAGCACTCTAGTCAAACACATGAAAAGCATTTGCACATATTGATCTCACTAAGTTTTCAATCCAGTGATTCTACTCTTGCTTAGAAAATTTCTGTGCAACTGCATTGAGGGACACAGAAACCAGGAGTACACAATCTAGCAACAAGTTTTTAGCAACAAGTCTAACAATGCATCACAAGATAAAAACAAATCTTCTGATGCTATCTGCCAGCAGGACAGAATCATAAGCCGAGCACAAACTCAGCTACTAAGTGTCCCAGACTTTTTAAGGAACTAACAGTATGCAACAAATAGAACTGAAAACCAGAAAAACATTTACCTGTGTTGTTTGGGGCAGCTGATGCATAAGAGAACAGAAACAAGCGTTTAAGCAGCTTAGGAGTCTGGCTATGATGAACTATACCACTGACGATCTAGGAAAGAACCAAAAATTAGCACCCAAACACAGACTTAGACTGTCAGTGTAAAAACCATGACTTTTTTTTTACCCCTCTCTCCCAGATTTTAAATAAAACTGTTCAATGGGTTCTATCCCCAACAGCTGAAAACTGACTTTTAGAAAGCCTTCTCTGTTGTCTGCAAGACGCTATACCTACTTGGCTTAACAAAAAGTATTATATCTGTTAAACTTCCAGAATGACTCTTATTATTTAAATAAAGGTAGTGGGCTCCTAGTTTGGAGTCCAGATGAACCTGTCAAAAGATCCCAAGTTATCAGGAAAATAACTGCTTTCATATGAAAAAGACTGAAGTCTAAAATGTAATAAAATTGTAAAGCTATTCCGTTTGTGATACAAGTTTGCACGAGCTAAAGCTAATTTCATGTAGGACTCTCAAGCTCCAGTTTTCTTCAAAGAGCCATCTGATCTTTTTAACTGCTATATATAATGATGTTTAATGAGTAAGACTAGCTAGAAATCAAAGTCTTACTTTCTCTCTCAATTGAGAATGATCAGAAAACACTTCAAGTTTAAGGGATCTCTCAGGGCAAACTTCATCCTTCCCTCATCCCCACGATTAAATACCCAACACTAAGCTTAAAAAAGGAAAAACAAATTAAGTTACTATACTTACTCTTTTCACTTCCTCTTCTTTTGTGTATCTCAGGCAGAAATGAAATACTCTAAGGTCCTTACAGTAGATAATCAGCTTCTCGGGGTATTTTCTCAGTTGTCCAGTTAGAAGTTTCTTTTTCTCATCATAAACTGCAAAATTAAGAAGTCTAAGTAAATATCAAAAAGAACTTTGCCATCAGTTGATAAAGCTATCCCTGCCTGGCTTTTCAAAATTGTCAAGAAACTAATTCAAGCCCAAGTTTTAGCAAGTCAAAAAAAGGATCCTACAACAGACTGGCAAGCTCTTGTGCTAATATACTCAACTTTCTTTTTTAAAACCCACTCAAAGTACTTCTTGCAAGGTAGAAACCAAACTTGCAGCAAGCCAGCTGGTCAGTAATTATTTCTGTTCACATTCTGACTGCATAATAAGTTCAAAGTTTTGAGATGCATAATAGTAGTTTTGCTTGAGGGAAAGTGCCCAAACAACTGGGATCATTCTAAGTTCCTAAAAAAAATATTATTTTTTTTTTTAACTACCATAGATCCCCCAAGAGCAACTTGAAGCACTGCCACGCAGGCCATTGTATATGAAACTAAATAGTGGTTCATAACCAGACTCCACTAGTCTCGCCCTAGTCCACTCCATCATGAATACACACCACCCTTCATAAATACTCTGAATACTCTAACACTAGCCCAAAGTCAGGTTTCTCAATAAAACCTTCCCACTACTTACAAATTAACAGCCCCATTCTCATTTACCATTTTTAGCAACACAGGCATACCTGTAAGCCCTGCTGTAAAAGACTCATTGAATTCCTTGTAAATTAAAGCCTCATTTTCTATCTCCTTTGATATTTTGAAGACATCATGAATCCCACAAAATAAAGTTCCCTTAGACAAAAAAAAAGTATTGTTTGGGAATTTGGTACTTGTACTGCTCAGCAGTGCTATTGCTCAAGTGAAGTGACTACATTCATATTTATAGAAATAGTTGATACACTGGAAGATCCTTGTGCATCAATCTTAATGAGAGACTTTTCACAGTACACTCTTCTCTGCTTTGAATCACGGCATTTTGACAGAATGGTTTTATCTGTACCAGCAAGATAATTAATCAAAATGTAACTTTGACAAGCTTGAGGGATAAGACTGGATTCTGATAGATCTCTTATCTGTCATTTCATCATTAAATAAAACTGCAGCTGTTTTTTCCAGACTACCCAATCCTAGTTTCCAAAGTGATAACTCTCAGTTTTCTAAAAAGGATGTACATGTACAGATAAAGAGCACCAGCACTACAAGAAACTTAAAAGTGTAAGGCATATTAAACAAAGAGGAGAAAGCTGACCTACCTCCGTAGATTTGATCTACACATTGCAGGGTTATGTCATTTTCTCCTACGATCTTATTCTTAAATTGTGGCTCCTAGGACATGAAAAAATTCTTATAAGTCTCACTACTAAGCAGTAGCACCTTCTCACAAATAAAGGATGTATTCAGTACTTATTTTAATATCAGCATTACTTCTTATTCTTATAAGCTGTGTAAGGCAGAACACCGAAGAACAGTTCTTAAAATAGATGCAGGTTACACAGGCATAGTTTACAAACTGTAGATCCAGTTTTACTTAAGTCTCAGCCATGCTTCAAATGTAGATAGAGTTTTTATTTTTAAAATAGCTTCAAAGTATGCATTTCTATTGAGAGTCACTTTTAAAACTAGAATTATTACAGTAAACAGGAAATACAGTAACTTGATGTAATCCAAGCCCTTTTATGACAAGTTTTCTTGCTATGGGAACCTCACAGAAAATAGAATGTCTCTTAAAAGAACAAGTATCCCAAGAATATTCCAACATAACAGCCAGATTTATCACTGGGTAAAATGAAGACACCTACAACCCAATTCTCTTATCTACTGTTTTGCCAAACTTGAAGTGATTTGGGGCTCCCTTCACTTTTATCATTCCATGAGCTCACAGTTAAAAATTACATTTGAATGATGCCACAATTAAACATCCTTACGTTAAATATTATTACCAGAAGACTGATGTACACTACATCAGCAAACTACATTTTACACACAGATGTGAAGTTATTTCCAGGTCTGCACTACTCTGAATCAGGTGGCCAATACTGAACATTTGTTAAGAGAGATATAGTTGACTTAGTTTATTATAAACCCAAGACTTAAAGTTAGTGATGGAACAGAAATCAGCATAGTCACCACCAACTTTAGCACAAAACTCATGTGATCTTTGGAAAGGGCTCTGCAGCTTTGTCCCAATTAATTCCAGAAGGTCCAAAAATCCATATTTGGCTGCAAAAGCCTTACTTCAACATTTAAACTCCCTGAAATTTTGCCCCAAGAAACTTGCAGCAATCAATGTGTGTCAAATCATATTCTTCTTCTTCTTCACTGTCATCATCACCTTGCACTCAAGAGCCATATACTAGGCTCTCCTTCACTTTTATCACCTAAATGGACCAGACTGTTTCAGATGCTTAAGCACGTCCAAAAGAGTGCAGCATTACAATTTGCGTTTGACAGCTCAGTTTGAGTACCAAAGGAAAAAAGATTCAACTCATTTCTAAGACTTGGGGTATTTTTAGCTTTTTTATTGTTCGCCAGCTCAATAGCACCAGGTTTTTAAATCTTTGCTGTCAACACCCGACTTTGAATGGAATAATTCTTTACTGAGCCACACAATTATCTAGAGCACTTCCACTGAATATCAGCTTATTTAGTCTTGTGCAGCCCTGAAATGATTCTGCAGATGTAGCCCAAAATCAAGTCAGACAGATGCTATACAACATTAGAAGTATGTTTCACCTTCACACTGTTGCAATTGCTACTAGATAAGTAGTCAGAATTCAGGCTTAAACTGTTGATTTAATTTTCAATAGATTATTTTTCCTTAAGCTTCACAAAATTACCACCTCACAAGGTATAAATTTATAAACTATGTCTAACATAAGAGTCCACATACAGGCTTGTGCCATTTTTACTCATAGTTGTTAGAGCTTCAGGAAGGATCTGAATTGACTAAGCAGATGCAGACTGATTAAAATTAGTCTGCAGCCATTAAAAGTTTTTATAAATCTATATTCATTCTGTATCCTTATATAAGGGAAAGATATGATTGTTTTGTCGGAGACACTATATGTCTTTAGACACTGTTCGGTCATAATTAGAAGACTTGTCTTCCTACATCATCATCTGAAGCGGAGTCATCAAGGAAAGCAATCTTGAAGTTTGTGCATACAAGTTTCCCATAGGTGCCACGATTTGACCCATCTTCTTGTATATACTTGTATACTGTGTTTGCCTCACAAAGCAGCAGTTCACCTGTATAAAAGAAACACTGACTTGCAGCATAACTGACAATTATAATTGAATTTATTTAACTCTCAAACTCAGCATTAACTTCCTGACAGCTTCTCTTAAGTGTATGCCTGAAGATATTTCATCACTGTTACACAAAAAGACTAAAAGGCAGCTCCTGGAATCAGTACATTGAGAGACTTCCAGGCTATTAACATTACTCAAGATGGACTGAACATTGTTCAATTGCACACGTTTATGAGTTTTGTAACCAGAGGTACCTGTGTCATTGCCTACTCTAAGTATAGGAGTACAATGCATGGAGTTGCAAAGAGCAGCCATACAAGTGTGTTAAAAAAACCACAACAAAACCCACTGAAAAGTAGTTAATGCAGTCAATAAACAAGTCAAAAACTGTTCCAATTTTTTCTTATTGCTAAACTCTAAGAATGTGGAAACATTCGAGTTGATTATTACAAGTTCATCATAGTTAATTTTTCATAGCTTTGACTGGAGATGTTGCTTATTTTACAGGTCCCAGGGCTATTTAAAAGTTCTCAAACACAAGTTTGCATAAATAATGCTCAGTGAAGTTGTCATCTTAAAATTAGCAGGAACTGAACTTCAAGTTAAGAAAGTAAAAAACAGGTTTTAACAGGTATATTCAGCCAGACTCTTGGTCTTTCCTATAAAGTGCAGAAACCCCAACAGAACAATACTAGTTTATTCTAAGCTTTTACTTGTATTTTATCTTAGTAATGTCATCTTTCCTGTTCTTGGAAAACATCTTTTAAAAAGAAAGAATTGTCTCTTAATAAAAATAAAATCTTAACAGTGAATGAGGCATCAAAAGGCCTAAGCACCTCACAGTAGAAGCAGAGCAACCAAAAGGTAAGTTCCCACGCAAACAAAAACCCACCTAACTTTAAGAAACAGAGCAAAATGAAGTATAGACAGTTCTCCACATTCAGCTTACCTGAAGGTACTGTACTCTATAAAAATTGGAAGTTTTATAATTTTTTTCAACAACCCATGCAGATACAGGTATTTAAAACATTTCAACCTGTGTGGGTCACTACAATAAAACCTCTATTTTACTACTTGGGACACTGATGTCACATGTGTGTTTGCTGCAGACATGGGAATATTTAAATATTGTTTACATTATTTTTTTGTTATTTAATTCTAATAATACAAGATACAGCAGTTACCTGGTAATAGGTGAGGATTTACCTCCTTTTCTACGGGTTCCTTTATGTGTATTTCCTAAAGGGAGAGAGAATAATTATTACTCTCCAAAGATCATTCTTTCAACACACGCTGTAAACAGCAGCACTATCCATCTTAAATTCCTCACATTCTAGCAAATAGGCAAATTAAAATTAAGGAAAAAGCTTCCTAAATTAAGGAGAATAAGTTTGCAATGTGCTCCTTCCACTAAAGGTCAGTGGTCTACTAGCTAAATAATTAAGTCAGTGGCTTGACACCCACAGTGTCAGTTACATACAGTTGTAAATACAAAAAAAGGAAATGCATTACTTGTATAAGTGACAGAAATAACGCCTTAGCAATACTTTTTAAGTTCTCTCAATACATGTAAATGGGTAAGCAAAACTAAGTATTACAGCACCATCTCCCAGAGTTCATTCATGAGCTTTTCCACACGACTTAAATTTGTTTCTAATGTACCCTTCACAGAAGCTTTTCAAGCTTCATCCTTCACTATCTGTTTCTGATTTTCTTACATGTATTATTGCAATCAAATTACAAAAGTTACTTAAGCAGTACTACCAAGATTATAGGGAAAGGGATTTCAGAATCTCAGAATCAAGAGGTAAAAGCAGTCACAGGATATCTTTTAGTTTTGACCCAAATTACACAAAACAAATCTATAAAATTCTCAATATCACTTGTTCTAGCCCTGAGGCACTGATAGTTGGGCTCAAATCTCCAGCTGAAAGACTATTAAACTAGAGGACGTGCTACACCCTTCCTGCTCAGCCAATTCAGAACTTCCTCCTCCAAGTCCGAATCACTTCACATGCATTGGAGTCTTTCTGGAAAACTATTAGTTAACTGGAAACCCCCCTGGGGCCACAGCAGTAAGCAAGCTAATTTTAGTTTGTTACCAGTATCCAAAGTCAGATATTGCAAATCAAGGCAAGTAATCAAAAGGAGACGTAAGCAATAACAGTTTCGCTGGATGATATAGAGAGAAACAAAAGCCCTTAAGAGCACAAAAATAATCTCCCATTGCCATTCATACGAACATTTGCTCTCAACACTCAGAAGACCCAAAACAAAATTTGAAGGCTGCACAGAAAAAGTAAAACCACCAGGAAACCATGTCATGAGAACAGCAGAGACATTCAAGACAGGTTGAAGAGGCAAAGGTTATAAAATGAAAGTGGTCATGGTGTAAAGAAAGAAATCTGTAACGACAGCTGATAGCTAATGCAGAAAACAAGCCACAATTCGCTGCCTTTGACTTCTAAGTCTGGATGTCGTACAAGTAAATTTTAAATTAAAGTTCACGCTTGTCAGCTAAATAAGTTGCTACGCAAACATGGCTCAAACTGAACACTGCTGCATTCAGAGAAGAAACACATACACATTTTCCCAGTGCTGTCTTCACCACTGGTAGCTCTAAGCTAAACTTTGGCTTTACTAGTGCCTTTATAGCTATGCCTTCTATCACTATTTGTGTGCAACTAAATGCAACACTGTTTGCTCACAAACTACATGCCAACAATCATTGCTACAGAACAGTAAAGCAGTATACTAACTAGTTGTTTTCCCAATAACTTTTACTTTGGGAGATATCTAAGGCATGCAGTAACTACTGTTTATGCATACACACTGCTTGAATGTTCATGCTTACTGCTGTGAGTACCAGTTTAGGCAAGTGTTGGCAGATAAGACCTGAGGAAAAAAACCAAGAAAACCAACCAACAACAAAAAACCCCATCCCAAAAAAACCCAAAACACAAAAACCCTGGACCCCAAAGAAGTTCTTCGAGCTTACTTCCATTTGTTAAAATGCAATGAAGATTTTGTAACAGGTGTATAGAGGCAAATAATTGTGAACACATGGTTTGGGTTTTGGTTACAAGTTAAATTGGTTATCTCCTGAAAGGAATTAGAATTTTAATTAAATAGCATCAGAGCAGAACAGAGACCTTAGTCAAACACTGAGACCAGCTTGTAAAGTCCATTTTTCACTCTTTGTTGACAAAAACCCACAGACACTGAAGTGCTTACTATAGGCAGAATTCCTATAATATACAACTTCCAAGAGCTGAGCCTCCAGAAGAGTTCTATTTGAAAGTCATTTATATTCCTGTAATAAAATCATAAATATTCTAAAGACAGTTTACATTCATATGCACTAGAGATAACTAGAATGTAAGCCATGAACATTGTTGAAGAATATTAAATATAAATTATTTAATACATTAAA